AACAGGAAAGACAAAAGAAAGAAAGAAAGAAAGAAAAGGAAGAAAAAAATCGCACTCCCTACATTCTTCGACATCTCTCTTCGGAAAAAAAAGAAAAAAATCATAAAGAATCAAAAATCAAATTTTCTTCCGCGCAATCACGCATCCGTCTGCGTCTCTGTTTCACTCCTTCCTGTACAAGATGGCGCGCCTGGAAGTGGCCGAAGACGGGGCGAACTTGCGGTTGGGAGACGGCTTCATGATGTCCTCCAGATTCACTCCCTCGTCCACGTCATCGGCCTCACTTCTGATTTCCATTTTCTTGTTTTGTTTTGGAAGGAAGTGGTAATGATGATTGTTATTTTTAGAACTTATTTGTAAATCTAGCTGTCCGCCCTTTTCGTCATCTGTCTACTCTTTCTGTGTGTCTATATTATAAATCTTTTTATCAATCTCTCTATGGCTCTCTGTCTATCTATTTCATCTATATGTTCACCTATCTCTATGTTTCTATATTCTATCTACATATCCATCTATCTACTTATCTATTACACACATAATTACACATAAACACACAGACACCGATATACACGCATGAAAGGACGGAAAAGATGGATAAAAAAGAAGAAAATGAAAAATTAATGATGTACATCCTGACCTGCACTGGTCACTAGGTCTCCAACTGATATAAACAATAAAAATGCATCAATTTATCCAGGGAATTCATAACCAGGTATCTCTCCTTCCCATTAAGCATATCAAACCCAAATATTAAATATATTTTTTTCCGTAGAGTATTCTGACGGCCGTTAATGGTCGTCATCATAAATAAAACTGGGGAATGTTGCTTAGAGACTAAATTATACAAATAATTATGTATCTAGCTATATCTGATTGGCTAAACATGGTGACGTCATTAGCTCTGCCCCCTTTCCGCAGTACGTTTTCTTTGAACATGATTCAGTAATAACAACAGTAAAACATACATAAATAAATAAATAAAAGATAACAAGAACATAATATAAATCAGTATTTGCGGTAAATAAAGGTGATGAGGTGAGGCTTACCTCAGAAGTTGCTAATTAGGATTTTCATGAAGATGGAATGGGTCTACGTGCTTAAAAAATACCTTGAGTTTATCTACATGCTGAGGCGCAGGAGTTGTTCAGATAACGCTAGGCCACATGACGATGATGGTGATGATAATGATAATGAAGATGGTGATGATTATGTTGCTTGTGGAGAGGGTGTGATGATAATGTGGTGGTAATGAAAATGATGATGATGACGATAATGACGAAGACGACAATAACGATAACGACGGCAATAATAACAAAGTCAATACCAACAGTCTCGACCCGATAACAAAGCGAAGGACTCACCTGCATGATAAGACGCAGGAGCTTCGTCTGGGTGTCGAGGACCGCCGAAATGTCCCTCAGCCTCCGCCTCTGCCCCTCCAGCTCCTCCCACAGGTAGTCGTCGCCCTGGGAGTCTGCGCACTCCAGCTCTGCGGCGGAAGGAAAGGGGGGGAAGGGGGGGAATGGCCGTGTGTTTCTTTTATTTTCCTTGTTTTGTTAGTTTAAATGATAACGATAATGATGATAATGATGATGATGATGATGATAATAACAATAATAATAATAATACCAATAAACAAACACTGAAAATAACAAATAAATCAATTATATAACTCCAGAAAGGACCGTGATATATATATATATATATATATATATATATATATATATATATATATATATATATATATATAGATAGATATTTATTCATATACACACATATATGTCAGTTATCTCCTAAAACTGCCCTAAAATCAGAAACTCTCTCCTGTGCAACTTACCCGTCCCTTTCCTGTCGCTGAACGGACACGCGAAGTTGAATGCGCTGAGGATCCTGTTCACCAGGTGCGTTCCTTTCCTGCAGTTCGGGTAGATCACCAGTTCACTTTTGTTCACTCGCCGGATGATCATTTCAGGCAGTTTGTTCTCCAGTTCCGTGTGCATTTCGACCTTGGGGAAATGGTGGCAGAATGAGAGGCATGTGCGAATGTTTTTTTTTTTTTTTACCTCCTCCTCCTCCTCCTCCTTATATGTATGTATGTATCTTTTCATGACTTTTCAGTAAAGCTATCTATCTTAATATATCTACCTACCTACTTATCTGTATATCGGAATATATCAAATTATTTATCTATTTATGTATCTATGTATCTGTAAATATCTATCTATATGTATGTATGTATCAACCCGCCCACACACACATAACCCCCCCCCCCCCCCACACACACACACACAAACACACACATCCCCCCCCCCCCCCCCCCATCCCCACACACCTGCATGGCGATCCTCTTGAGCTGCGCGTTCTTCCTCACGCTCTCGATGTCCCCGACGGCCAGACCGATGAGCAGATTCATGAGCAGGATTGGCATCAGGATCATGAAGATAACCAGAAGGGCTGCGGGAGGGAGAGGTTTGGGAAAGGGCGAGTGTTAGTGCTGTGTTTCTGGGAGAGGTGTGTACTTGTATCCGATCATTTATGCTCATGTGGTTATATGTATACGATCGTGTTCAGTAATCTCCATCTGTGTTTGGTGGGGTGGGGTGGGGGGATCGTGCGAGTGTGGGGTGGGAGGGGGTCGTGCAAGTGTGGGTGTGGGAGGGGGGTGCTTGTGTGTGTGTGTGTGTGTGTGTGTGTGTGTGTGTGTGTGTGTGTGTGTGTGTGTGTGTGTGTGTGTGTGTGTGTGTGCGTGTGCGTGTGCGTGTGCGTGTGTGTGTGTGTGCGTGTGTGTGTGTGTGTGTGCGTGTGCGTGTGCGTGTGCGTGTGTGTGTGTGTGTGTGTGTGCGTGTGTGTGTGCATTTATATATATGATATAAAACCGATATGCTCGAGACACACATCTCACTGTACTACCTACGATGACAGTCAATATCACACAATATGCCTGAACACCATAAAATAATAATATATCAACTAAGCAATAAACAGAAAACATAAATAAAAAGGAAACAAATGAATCAATCAAATAAGAATAAATATAACAGTAAGTCAGTTAATCAATAAACAATAAACACAAATCGAAAAGTGAATAAATGACTCGATACACAATAAACATGCATAAAAAAGTAAACCAATTAATCAATAAACAATAAAAGACAATTTAATAAACAATAAACCTAAGGTAGTAACTCAATCGGTAAACAATGAACAAACAAGAAAAAACTAAACCAATCAATCAGCAAACAAACAATAAAAAGCTAAACCAACCAATCAACAATCAATCAAATAAAGCTAAACCAATCAATCAACAACAAACAATAAAAAGCTGAATCATTAAACAACAACCAATAAAAAGCTAAACCACTCAATCAACAGAAGAAGCCAAGCCACTCAACCGAACGTGGTGCGGGGGAAGAGCAGGGTGTCCCCCCGGGTGCTCTCGTGGTAGAACGGGTAGACGAAGATGGTCAGGAAGTCGACCTCCCCGAGCATCATGGAGAAGGTGTGGAGCATCGACATCGGCACGTTCGAGAAGGAGAGCTGGCCTCCCTTGGGTGGGGAAGGGGGGGGGGGAGAAAAGGGGGGATGGGTGAGAATGGAATGAAGGAGAGAGAGAGAGAGAGAGAGAGAGAGAGAGAGAGAGAGAGAGAGAGAGAGAGAGAGAGAGAGAGAGAGAGAGAGAGAGAGAGAGGAAGAGGGGTATTGGGTCTACATTAGGAGGTATGGGATTGGTTTGTATTTGTATTATGGTATTATTTATTTATATCTATGTTTCTTTTACGTTTGTCACTATTAACTGTCTACATAAAATATTTCTAGAGATTAATAAGGAACATAAACTATACATATATACACTATATATACACAATATATATATATATATATATATATATATATATATATATATATATATATATCTTCATCCTTTGACCAGCTCTATGCGGGATTCACGCTTAACAAATCATTCATAAAACAACGAAAGGAAGAAGAAGAAGAAGAAAAAAAACACACACACACAAGAATAAACATCTTTTCGCACTGTTGCTCCTTCTTGACCCAGAGAAGCAGTGCAGCGAAAAGGCCTTCGGAATATTCGTGAGTTTAAATGCTTTTCTCTTCGTTGTCTTGTGTTTCAGTTATCTCAATGGCTAGATTTACCTTCGTGTGGGATTTTCAGGCCAAGAAACTCAGAGGAGGAAATTTGAACGTAAAATGAACTTTCTAGAAATTTTATACCAATTACTTAATTGATTTAATCCTGTACTACATTTGACAATTTAAAAACAAGAAATTAATATGCATATCAACTGTCGAATTTTCTGAAAAACAAACAAACAAACTTACATGTGACATCAGGATATAGAAGGCAAGTCCAAAGGCGACGATAAGAACAGAGAACACAAGAAGAACATTTATGAGTGTGTTCAGGATCTCAAGGAACATCACGATGTATATCCCAATCCGGTCAAATCTGGAAAAAAGATGATAAGAATTTAATCAATAAATGAATATGAAGGAATAGTTATATTTTGCTTTAAAAAGTGAAAAGGTTGTAGGTGTATTAGAGTAAAACTGACAGATATTTCCTGTCAAATCGAGCAATGAATCTTGTGCCGTAGCTTCGAAGAGCCAAAACCGGGTTCGTTATTCGAAGCGTCAAACGCGTTCAGTCGACGATAATCATAACTATGATAATAATAACTAATAATGATGATACTAACAATGATACGAATAACATCAACATCATTATTATTATCATTATTGTCATTATTATTATTATTATAATTATTACCATTACTGTTATTATCATTATCATTATTATAACAATTATCATTATCATCATCAGGATCATAATCATTATATCTATTATTATCGGGGTAATATCAACAGCAACCTTTCCCAATTACCTCTGAAAGTAAATGAGCAGTATGAACCACGAGCAGAAGACAGCGAGCGCGGCCGAGTTGTACTGCTGGTTGTGCCAAGTGGCGCCCAAGAACACGGGCATCACCATACAGATCGACGCTAGAAACATCGTCCACTCCACGAAGTTGATCGGCTCTGCCAGGTACTGTTGGAAAGGGTTTAAGGATGCGGTTTACTGGTGTTTTTAGTTGGGTTTTGTGTTTTATTTTAAAGCCTCTTTGGGTAATTATGGACTTTTCTATTTATCATCGTATTTTCTTCTTCAGTTTTTATTTCATTACTATCTTATTCTCTTCTACCAATCATAATATCCAATGGAAGTGAGTTATCCTTCGTTCCTTCAAATAATAGTCACTCCTAGTTTAAAACTTTAAGCTTATCACATAGATACTTTATATAAATCTATTATAAGACAATCCAAAAAATGAGTTTTGTACAGCCTCTTAACTACTCGAATTAAAACTAAAACAAAACAGCATGATTACAACTAATATCAAACTCTTTAATGCCAACAGATTTTAAATGAAGTAACTAAGTTCGGGAAGGAACAGATTCTGAGTTCAGTATATTGCGAGTACCTTTAGCCGATGGTAGTATATCTGGAATGCCTCTTTCAGCATACTCATCACGGCGAACACGGTTATTCCGATGGCCATGCAGTACATCCAGCCAGGCGTGTCTTCGATCTGTGAAAGTGGTTTTTGAGTTTAATTGCTTGTTAATGTAATAGAGGTTTGGGCATTATTATTGGTGTCATCTTCATTATTAATAGTTTATTTTACAGATGATTAATATTCAATTTTAATTATATGATTTCATTTACTTTTTTTCGTAGGATACTGACTAGCTTTTGCATGAAATACTCCCAGTTAAAAACAACACGGGCTTATATCACAGTTGATAGATATTATTAACATTCAATATGAAACCTATGCCTTCATGCGGTTATGATCATAACATTCCATTATTTTTTGCATGAAATTCATCACAAAAAAACATAGGTCTACATCACAAATAACAGTGAAAATCCATCACACAGCAAAACCTATCAAGCCCTCCCCCCCTCCCCCACCAAACTCACATGCAACTGAAAGTGTCCCGACGTCATGAAATCGGACGCATTATCCACAGCGACCCTCGTGATGTTCGACATGACGAAGCTCTGCTGGCCGAGCACCCCGACGGCGAAGATCGTCACCAGCGCCAGGAACACAAGGTACACGAACAGGTTTGACAGGTGGATGTACTTGCCATACGCCTGCCACTTCATCTCGAGGAACTTCTGGGTCAGTGGATGCATCAGGAGCTCCACCCGACCGGACTCCACCATCGCCTGTTAGGGGGGGGGGGGGAAGAGGAGGGAAATTATCTGACGAGCAAACTATATAAGGAGCACACCATTCAACAAGCAAACTATCTAACAAGCACACTATTCAAAAAGCAAACTATCTAACGAGCGCACTAACCAACAAGCAAACTATCTAACGAGCCCACTATTCAACAAGCAAACTATCTAACGAGCGCACTATCCAACAAGCAAACTATCTAAGGAGCACACTATTCAACAAGCAAACTATCTAAGGAGCACACTATTCAACAAGCAAACTATCTAACGAGCACACAGTTCAACAAGCAAACTATCTAAGGAGCCCACTATTCAACAAGCAAACTATCTAACGGGTGCACTATCCAACAAGCAAACTATCTAAGGAGCACACAGCTCAACAAGCAAACTATCTAAGGAACACACTATTCAACAAGCAAACTATCTAACGAGCACACTATTCAACAAGCAAACTATCTAACGAGCACACAGCTCAACAAGCAAACTATCTAAGGAACACACTATTCAACAAGCAAACTATCTAACGAGAACACCATCCAACAAGCAATTTATCTAACGAGCCCACTATTCAACAAGCAAACTATCTAACGAGCAAACAATCTAAGGAGCACACCATTCAACAAGCAAACTATCTAAGGAGCACACTATTCATAATAATGATGATGATGATAATAAAAGCAATGAAAAAGCAAAACCGATAAATGACATGCTGAAATGATATTAACAATAATAATAATAATGATAATAAAAATAAGATAATAACAAATGTTATTATTTTATAATAATAGTAATAATAATAACAATAATAATAATAATAATAATAATAATAATAGTAACAATACAAATGATAATAACGACAATAATAATAATGATAATAATATAATAATAATAATAATAATAATAATAACAAAACAACAACAATACTACTACAACTACTACTAATAATAACAACAGTAATAATAATAATAATAGTAATAATAATAATAATAATAATAATAATAACAACGATAATCATAACAATAACAAAACAAAGACAACAATAATAACAATAAACCCCAGGCCCAGCAACGAAGAAGCACGCCCGAGGAAGGACTCACGTTGCAAGCGTACAGAGGCTCGGGTCGAAATTTCGGGTTCTTCTGCTTGATCTTCTCGGCGTCGAGTTGCTCCGGGGTCAGTTGCAGAGGGTAGAAGTTGTACTTGATCTGTTGGAGGGAGGAGGAGGGAGGAGGGAGGGAGGGAGGAGGAATAAGGAGAAGTGGGGGAGGAAGGAGAGGGGGAGGGAGGGAGGGAGGGAGGGAGGGAGGAGGTAAGGAGGGAGGGAGGAGGAGGGAGGGAAGACGAACGAAGGAGGAGGAGAGGGGGAAGGAAGGAGGAAGAGGACGGAGGAGGAGGAAAGGGATGTGGTGGTAGTGGTGGAGGAAGGAAAGGATGGAGAAGGAGGTATGGATGAAGAAGAGAAGAGTGAAAGAAGAAAGAACAAGGAGATAAAAAAGAATGAAAGCAAAAAAAAAAAAAAAAAAAAAGGTTAATAACAATCGTTTCAATGTTTTTCTTGCAATAATGTTACAATCTTCAAACTAATTTTGATATTTAAAAAAAATAAGGAAGAAAAAGAAGAAGAAAAAGATGAAGAGGGAAAGGAAGAAGAAGAAGAAGAAAAAGAAAACGGAGAAGGAGAAGGAGAAGAAGAAGAAGGCGAAGAAGAATTAGAGAAGAAGAAGAAGAAGAAGAAGAAGAAGAAGAAAATAAAAAGAAGAAGAAGAAGACGAAGAAGACGAAGAAGAAGAAGAGGAAGAAGAAGAAGAAGAGGAGGAAGAAGAAGACGAAGAAGAAGACGAAGAAGAAGACGAAGAAGAAGACGAAGAAGAAGAAGAAGAAGAAGGATGAAGAGGAGGAGGTACTCACATAGAAATCCTTGGCCTGCTCCTTGACGTCTGCCTTGACTATGGCTTGGTACAGAACCGACTCGAACACCTTCGGCAGCGTGCGAATGAGGGCCATGCAAATGCAACCGTGAATCTTGCTGGACGTTCCTAACACCTCGCTGGGGCTGACCAGGGAAAAAAGAGAAAATAAATAAAAAGTATGAAAATCAAGAAAAAAATATAAAGTTCAAGAAAAAATGTATCCTTCTTAATTTCAACAAAGGACTCATTTGCATGACAGGAAAAGGTTTATATGTAGTATATTAGTAGAAAATATTAGCATTTACTTACTTTTAGGAAAACTTATTCTTCATTATGTTGTAGAAATGTCTTTTGAAATATGTTATTTAATATAATTAAAGTTCCTGTTTATTATTTAGTATTAGTAGAACACATAAGAATCTACACAGAATCTACTTTAAAATATTCACAAAATAGACAAAAAAGTTCACATGTGCTGCGCCATCTATTTACTTACCTCAATCAACACAATTCCGATTTCCTTTCTATCTAAATATCTATCGAAATTCCTTTCCTTTTTATCTAAATTTCCTTTCTATCTAAATATCTATCTAAATATCTGTCTCAATATCTACCTAAATATCTATCTAAATGCCGTACATTTATCGAAATTCTACCTAAATCTCTATCTACATCTATTTATCACCCACTATCAACATCTATCTATCCATCCACTCTCAACACCATCCACCTCCACCTCTTCTCATCCTCACCCTCTGTCGTGAGTGACAAGCGCCAAAGCAGACTCAGAAAGTTTGTATTGAATTGCAATGTCAATCGGCTTGCAAGAGGAAATGTTCTCGAGAAATTTGCAGTTGAGGCTCATCAGCTGACTGACCGTCTCCGGTTTGTTGGCCCGCACAGCCACGTGGAGGGCGGTGTTCTGTGCAGGAAATAGATAGATAGATAAATAAACGAATAATTGAATGAATGAATAAATAAACAAATAAATACATTAATGGATAATTCACTTAATTAATTGATGTATTTTATCAGAAAATGTGATGACGATGAAGATGAAGATGAAGACGAAGACGAAGAAGATGAAGAAGATGAAGATGAAGATGAAGATGAAGATGAAGATGAAGAAGATAAAGATGAAGATGAAGATGAAGATGAAGATGAAGAAGATAAAGATGAAGATGAAGAAGATAAAGATGAAGATGAAGAAGATAAAGATAAAGATGAAGATGAAGATGAAGATGAAGACGAAGACGAAGACGAAGAAGATGAAGAAGATGAAGATGAAGATGAAGAAGATAAAGATGAAGATGAAGAAGATAAAGATGAAGATGAAGAAGATAAAGATGAAGATGAAGAAGATAAAGATGAAGATGAAGAAGATAAAGATGAAGATGAAGATGAAGATGAAGATGAAGATGAAGAAGATAAAGATAAAGATGAAGATGAAGATGAAGATGAAGAAGATAAAGATGAAGATAAAGATAAAGATAAAGATGAAGATGAAGATGAAGATGAAGATGAAGATGAAGATGAAGATGAAGATGAAGATGAAGATGAAGATGAAGATGAAGATGAAGATAAAGATAAAGATAAAGATAAAGATAAAGATAAAGATAAAGATGAAGATGAAGATGAAGATGAAGATGAAGATGAAGATGAAGATGAAGATAAAGATAAAGATAAAGATGATGACGATGATGATAACAATATCAATAATGATAGCAGATATGATGATGATAATAATAATAAAAAAATAATAATGATAATAATAACATCAATGATGATTATAATATTGATAATAATAATGATACAATATCAACAAGAGCAGTACTAATGTACGATAGAATGATAATAATAATAAAATATATTTTCCGCCTCACCCCTTCCTTATCCGTCTGATCGAGCGTGTGGCTGTGGATGGTGAGGATGGCGCTGATGGTGTCCCTGTGCCCCCCGAGAGCCGCCAAGTGCAGCGGGGTCCTGCCGTGGTGGTCGCGGTGCAGCAGGGCGCCCTTGCTCAGCAGTAGCTGGACTACGCGGGTGTGACCTGGAGAGGGAGGGGGTGTGTGAAAGAGTAGGGAGGGAGGGAGGGAGGGAGGGATGGTGGAAAGGGGAGAGGAAAGAAAGAAGGGAGGGAGGGAGACGAAGAGGGATAGGAAGAGAGGGTGAGAGGAAGGCAGGGAAGGAGCAAATGAGAGAGACTCATTCACAAAGATACTCACACACCGAAATTAATGCGAAACACATCAACAGAAGGTAATCATTATGAATATACAACATCTCTTGCCCTCTAAAACTTATCCATTTTCAATTCTGATAACGAAGGAAAACCGAACCTTCTTCACTAGCGATATGAAGCGCAGTTTTGCCTTCGTCGTTGCACTCGTTCAGGATCAGGAAGCCCGACTTAGACTCCACGAGTTGGCGGACGGTGTTGTAGCGGCCGTACCTGTGAGGCACAGGAGGAGTCACTATGCGCATGCACACACACGCACACACACACACACACACACACACACACACACACACACACACACACACACACACATACACACACACACACACAAGCACACACACACACACACACACACACACACACACACACACACACACACACACACAAACATGCACTCATACGATTTTATGAAAATACAACCAGACTCCCTCCCACAAACTCCTTCCATACAACCCCCCCAAAAAATCAACCAACCAACAAACAAACGAACTCGTACTTGGCCGCGAAGTGCAGCGGACTCTCGTTCCTCTTGTCCTTGGTCCTGACGCTGGCCCCGAGCTGCAGGAGCGACGACAGCGAGCAGATGTGGCCGCTGCGGGAGGCGTAGTGCAGGGGGGACCAGCCCATCGAGTCCTGCTCGTTCAGCATCATCGTAATGCTGCTTGTGCTCTGGCGGAAGGCGGGCGGGTTAGGGGCTGCCTTCTGCTCGATCGGCGGCCGTTTGGCTGTTTATGGACGCCGCTCTGTGCTCCTAATTTGATTTCATTTACATCTGTTTATCTGTGTATGTATGCCTTTCTGAATTTTCGTTTTATTTTACTTTATTTACATCTACTTATCTGTTTATGTTTGCCTCCCTGCTTTTTATTTAATCTAATTTATTTCTGTTTATCTGTTTATGTATGTCATCTTGTCTTTCCATTTTGTTTTATTTACATCCATTTATCTGTGTCTGTATGCTTCTCTGTCTCTTTATCTTTTTCAGTTTATATTATGTTGTCCATTTATCTGTCCGTCTGTACGTCCTCTCCACTGCTGCTCCATTTCATCTTCATTTTACTTTATCTATTTCTATACATGTATGTTATAATAAGATAATGATAGGGATAATGATAATAGTAATGATAATAATCATGATAATAATAATTATATGATTATGATAATGATAATAATCATGATAATAATAATTATATGATTATGATAATGATAATAATGATAATAATAATATCAATTATAATAGTAATATCAATGATAACTGTAATATTAATGATAATGATAATATCAATGACAATGGTAATATTGATAATAAAAATGGTGATAATAATTATAAAATATAATAAAACTGATGCTATTAATGATGATAATGATAATAATAACCATAATAAAATGAGATCCTAATGATAACGATACTCCCACTGCTCTCACTGCCCACCGACAGCAGCCTCCTCACCAGCGTGTCCCTGGCCTGCTTGAGCGAGAGGACGTCGCTGATGGAGCCGCCGTTCATGATGACGACGTGCAGCAGGTTCTTCAGGTGGGAGTCGCGGATGGTGGGGTTGGCGCCGTGGGCGAGGAGGGCGTCGACGGTCCGCCACCCCCTCCGCGACGCCGCCAGCAGGAGGGGAGACCGGTGCTCCTGGTCCACTTGGTCTACTTCCGCGCCCTGGTGGAGAGAGTGGAGAAGGTGGGAGGAGTGGAGGAAAATGGAGGGAGGTGGAGAAGGTGGAAGGAGGTGGAGAAGGTGGGGGGAGGTGGGGAAAGTGGAGGGAGGTGGGGGGAGGTGGAGGTGGAGAAGGTGGAGGGAGTGGAGGAAGGTGGGGGAGGTGGAGGAATGTGGAGGGGTGGAGGAAGGTGGAGGAGTTGAAGAGGGGGGTATTCACGATTGGTGTTAGTATGTAGAGATTTATCCACTTGTATGTATGAAGTAGATTTACTTATTTGTATGCATACTGTACACGGGCACTCACAGGCATATACACACATATAAAGATGTATACACAATATACTCAAACTCACAGGCACACACCCACCCACACCCACCCACACGCACAAACACCCACTCACACCCACCTACACGTACAAC